ATCTTAACCGGAAATGCCAGTCAAGTCAACATTCTTCGTGCATACCGAACTAAAGTTCGGCTCGTTTTTATCATAAACAATGGAAGATGCCTCGTTGACGACGTCAACATGTAAGAAGAAAAGTTGGGTTTCGATTGTTTCATAATTGTTGAGCTTACTTCCATTTCGTGTGAAAGTGTTTGGTGAAGAGATTCGTAGGTCGGTTCCACCAGAAGACTACGGTGGATTTCTCTTGACCAGCGAACACAAACAGTCACATACACATACATAGACAGACACACTCGCAGGATTTGAAGTTGACATATGACCGTAACTAATCGGATCACTTTACGCTTGATCAAAGAGGCCAGATGTAGAGTATAGATACCACTTTTTAGGGATTTGTCGGTGGGTTTTCTTAACTCTTCAGCTTGAATTTGGTTGTGACGATGCGGCCTTGCTTTGGTGATGTTCGTCACTTGACGGAGGAAAGTTTAGCACCTTTTCACCAGAATCGAATGAGTTTGCCTCGGAAACAGCGTCAGCATTAATCATGAAGTAAAGCCAATCGACAGTTGGTCAAGAGGGATCCGTCGTCGTCTTCTGGTGGAACCGACGTCAACATGATCGCCGTAGCAACCTCAAACGACAACAAAGCAGCACCGATCTGCCATCGTCTTTTGGTGAGCCCAGCTGGGCACTTTTACACCAAATAATGATACCACAACATTGTTGCCGCATTACATGCACATTGTGAACAAAAGGTTTTTGCAGACGAAGCCTGTTTATTAAAGAGTACCGTAACCATGGCTGCAGCTCCCTGTTTGTCTGTGATTTGTTTGCATGTGCTGCATGAACTTTGGGTCGTCTTCAGTCTCGAGGCAGACGATATGGGACGGGATCCGAATTGCTTCTGCCCTCAGAGCTTGGCGCGATTTGTCTGGGACAAAAAACTCTTCAGATGCCTCACTCGCGAACTAACCGACAATAGAATGCACCTCATGCTCGTCGGTGTGATGGTCTTGTTGATGATCTCTTCGGCTCTGGCCGGGCCGCGGCATTCGAGTCCGGAACAGGCTGGCTGAAGGAAGTAGACCATTTCTCACTTCAAACCAGGGCTTCAGTGCATGTGAGAATGATCCCCTCGTCTCGCAAGTTTGTGTCCTCGTCTGCTGGCGCATGTGTGGCACAATTGGATGAATCCATCAACAGTACAGAGCAATAGACATTGTGCTCTAACATCTACCCAGTTTCTGAGGAATTGGTAGACCCTTCGGTTGGCAGGAAGTTAAGGTAGTCAATAGAAATTGACAGAATGACAAATCTCGATAATGAAGGAGACTGGCGAATGAATGGCTGATAAAAGTTAGCTGTCTTTTGGGTGGAATTGGGTCTTAAATCTACACTCACAGCTCCGGCTTCCGGTAAAGCCATTTTGCGACAGGCCTCCACTCATCTCTTTAAACGCAATGAAAACAACTTCAACACCAGTTAATAACAGTTTTTCTACATAAAATCTATCCAGTTTTCACTGATTTTGTTCACACTTCAGTTAAGAGGAAGATGAGCGAGCAAAGACAAATTAACAAAATGACTACCTTCCATAATGGAGGGAAATGGTGCAAGAGTATATCGCGAAATTCTTTTGTCTTTCGGATAAAATTGGGGCGGTTGAATGGGACGGACCATAGATTATGAGGAGGTGGCTTGAGTGAGAAAGAGAGAGAGGGAGAGAGAGAGAGAACAATGGTTCGTTTCAGAATGTCCTGGCTCTCCAGTCAACGGGCAACATGGTACCGCACATGCCTGAGACAAGACGACTTCAACTGCCCGCTGCAAGTCGGTCTGGGGGGGAAATCACCCCATGTGGCCGTACATACGACAGACGCACATGCCAGGGGATGTGGTAGCCTCGCTGGTCTCTTCACAGCTCCGCTCCCGCGGGGCTCGAGACCGGAACGTGTGCCAGAACTGTCGGTTACTCTTTGTTCCCTTTAACGCCGGCTTCCGGTAGACCCGAGAGCAGG